TATACTATGTAAAGATAACACCCAAACACAGAACAAATGATCGGGCTGATTACACATTTTTTTGTTCAGGGTGGGCATCGAACCCACGATCTCTGGCACTAACCACTCGACCTACAGGCTAGTCGACTGAGTGCATTATTAAATGACGTTTGTATGAATGAATACTAACAGGTTGGAATTAATGTCATCCTATTGTACATGGCCGTTGCTGGAATTGACAGATTATGGTCGAAGATACAATGTAAGAGAAGCTGTAATCAAGAGTGGGACTGAGACAGAGTTTCCTGTGTCTTATCCAAACCATTATCAACTGTTTGTCCGTTTGTGGTGACGGATTAAGAATACGGAGTCTCCACTAACCCTTATTCATCCCGTGGGTATCGTAAACTCTGTAGGACAACAGCAATACAAATAGAAGGAAAACTTGACACAGACCCTATACCAACCCGTCTAGCCAGCGTGGTATAGTAGAAAAAAACTTTGCTTCTAAGCGAAGTCAGCACTGGACTGTTAAAGGCTGCTGATAATGATGATGATGTGTTTTTTTTTATGGAGTAGGGGATATTACCAACGTCCATGAACACTTGCAAAACGAGAGTCACAAGATGAAGCTAGCCCACGGAGCTAGCCGACCGACATAGCCTACGTAGTATATGGCACGCCCCCCAATATGAGATTTTTTTTATTCAACAAAGAGAGCAAACGGTCATTTTCCTGCTTCAAATTCCTATACAATAAACCAGGGCCCTTTAAGATTAAGAAAATATATTTATATAATCATATTAAATGAATAAACTAAATAAATAGTCTTGTTTTTTTTTTTTCATTCCTATACAATAAACCAGGGCCCTTTAAGATTAAAAAAATATATTTATAGATTCATATTAAATGAATAAACTAAATAAATAAAGTCTTAACCTAACCTAAGTAAATTTGTTTTAACCTTTTTCGCAACAATAGGAATGCTTCCTAATTTTATGTTGTTTATCCCTAAGTGTCGTACAATAATACTAAATTAGTTATACGTTGGCACAAAACTTATAATTTTTGTTATTAAGTGAACAATCAGACACGACTTACGATAAATTGACCGATTCGATGAAAAAATATTTTTATTTTAAAATAAATAATCGGATATGATTTACGATGAAAAAAGTGATTCGACAAAAAACCAATGCTGCCAATGTATACAATTACAGTACTTTTTGTGCTTTATTATAATGTTTTTGTTTTTTTTTTTTAAACACAACTCCCGCATTAGGAATACATTCCTGTGTCGCGGGGGACTTTACAAACACACATGAAACGGACACAAAGAACACCCAGACTCAGAACAACAATTTGTGGATCACAAAAAGTGTTGTCCCATGTGGGGTTTGAACCCACAACACTCGGCACAGTAGAAAGCGGCGTGGCGACCGCTTAAACCACTACGCCATCCATCATCAGTCAATGTAAAAGTCGCTTGGTATTATTGTACTATACTTAGGGATTAGGTAGCAATCTTACTCTTGGAAAGAGAGTTACAGCAGGTATTTCGTTGAATCGGTCGTTTTATCGTAACTCATAACCGACTATTTATTTAATGATAAAAATTATAAATTTTCTGCCAACGTAAAAGTAATTTGTTGTTATTGTATGATACTTCGAATACTACTTCGTCGAATAGTTCAATTTATCATAAGTCGTGTCTGATTGTTCATTTAATAATAAATATTATAACTTTTCTGCCAACGTAAAACCTATTTAGTATTATTGTACGATACGTAGGCATAAACTATACAAAATTAGGAAGCAATCCTATTTTTGTGAACAGAGTTACATTAGGTTTTTCGTCGAATCGGTCAATTTATCGTAAGTCGGTCTGATTGTTCACTTAATAACAAAAATTATAAGCTTTCTGCCAACGTATAACTAATTTAGTTTTATTGTACGACACTTAGGGATAAACTACATAAAAATAGGGAAAAATTCTCAATTTGAGAAGCGTGCCATATACTACGTAGGCTATGGCCATCGGCTAGCTCCGTCGGCTAGCTTCAGCTTCATAATCAGAAGTGCGTTGTTGCTGTCCTTTGAGTCACGCCCCAGAATCCGACGGGAGAGGGGGGGGCGGGGGTTTGGTCTATGGTAACCAGACAGCTGACATAAATGTGAAAGTGAGTTTGTTTCTTAATGTGTTTCTTACGCTTTCACGCCTAAACCACTATACCGATTTAAAACTTCTTTCACCAATGGAAAACTACATTATCAGCGAGTAACATAGGCTACTTTTTACCGCGATAGCCGACAAACATGCGGGCGGAACCACGGGCAAATCTAATACCTACTAAATACCTACTTATATATTATAGATAATTTACACCCAGACAAAGAACAAACGATCATGCTCATCACACAATATTTGTACTAGGTGGGAATCAAACCCACAACCTTTGGTTTAGCAGTCAAGGTCACTAACCACTAGAGCAACAGCTCCGTCCTTCTTCGTTATTTTTCTATTTTTCTGGAACAGTATCTTCTCTCTGGATAAATTGTTATTATATTTATTTTATTATTTTATTTTGTTCGGAATACCAACACCGCAAATGACATCTCATCAACAGCCTAGAACAGTCCACTGCTTTACATAGGACTCAGGCTCAAAAAGGGTAAGGTAAAACATTATAATAAAATAACAACGAAGCTATTCGCAAATAGAATTTGTGTGGAGAAGTTACAGTGAGAGAGTGTAAAAATAAATGATATTAATTCCTGTAAGTAAATCTTTTCAGATATTTTTACAAGTCGGACTTTACAGCTCGTAGGAGTTGGCATTACCTAAGACCCACTCTGGGAAGAAACACCGCAACAAACTACAGAGTACAGAATTTCATACCTTTCATATTCATAACATTAGCTAAGATTAACGGACTCGTGGCCACTGCCGCACCAGAGGCCGTCATGTTAAAATATTCAGTGAGGCCAATGATGCAATTAGCGCAACATATAAAAACACGTTGAAATGATATACCCCAATAAAACATGTTGAATTTGAATGGCACTTAATAGTATCTCATTGGTACCAATTACCTATAAAAAGAATTACATCTATGTATTAAAAATTAAGAAGGCATACATAAAAAGTAACGAATTGGTTCTTCCTCCTCCCTCAGATATCTGCAGATATGGGTATGGATCATCACTAAATAGAATACATTACATGGAACAAATAAGTGATTTACATGAGGAAAAAGGAATATGACCATGTAAAGGGATATAAAGGCTCAGAAAACAAAGTTCCAGTAGGTATAAAAATAAATATAGGTAATTTATTATTTCCTAATACGAACGAAATTAGAAATAGTCACGCGAGCGAAGTTGCGGGCAGTACCTAGTTTACAATAAATCATCTTGTAGCCTTATAAGTCAGTGCAACTGCAGCAGACGGATGATAGACCAATTAAAACAATTAAAGCGTTACCTTTGTGTAATCAATCATTATGTGAAAGTTGTTGTGAAGAAAGTTACTTACAATTCTTCAGCATTCCCGCGTTTTGTTTCCAAGAAGTGTTCAACACCTTGATGCACCCACTTTCCACCAAACGGACTATTTTTTACTTCATTTAGATACAAACAAAAATATAATTTCTCATCTGTAATAGGCACTGAAATTTCGAGTTTCGTCAACCATTTCGTATTTAATGTCTCTTTTAAATCATAATTAGGGTATATGACGTCACAATTAGCACCCTCTAGGGCTTCTATATGGGTTAATCTCCATGAATAATGCCCAAGAAATTCACCCCCATTTATGTTTAGTAAATATTTACAACTATTTCTGTCGCATACTTTGTTGTCCATTTTTAATGATATTATCCTTGGTTTCAACACATTATTATCAACAGCGTACACATAAAATAATAAATATATTAATACACCACAAGTCCGCAACATATTTACCACTAGAGCCATTTTCGCGGATCACAAATTAGTAAAGAAAACAAGAGGTCGACGCGACGATTCTAAAGCGACATGTTTTGGCTATTGACAGTTCGGCGGCAATTGTTGCCGGAACTGCGGTAGTTAAAAAAGAAGTTGTCATATCCTGTTCTCTATTAATATTGATTCGAAGAATATGTATAATAAATTTTAAATATTATTCAATAAACTATACTTATTTATTAAAAAACATATCTAAAATTCTTTTATAAAGTCATATTGCTATAACCTCATTTAAAACTAAAATGTAACATTTGATCCTAATCCAGTAAAAGTTAAAATAATTTTTTGATAATAGTATGTTCTGAACAAATCTGTCAGTTTGTCTTAGAATGTTGGCCATTCCATATTCCTTAATTCGGATTCATTCGTATTGTTTATTGTTATTTCAAAAGAATTACACTTAAAATTTTAGAACATATAATTTTTTATTACATTTATAGTTAGCTTTTAAATTAAGGACGTATTAATAAATTAGAGAGGCAAGTGTTCATTATAATATTGAATTATATTTTTTGTGAAATTGATTTTAGTCCGGCAATTGTGACTGAAATACTAGAAGTGTATTCATTGTAGTATCCGAACATATGCCACACGAAAACTCACTAGATTCTCGATTTCACCATCAAATTGATAGGTGTCAATCATAAACAGGTGATATCAGTTTGTAGTATTTTCTCTTTCTATCAAATGGTATTTGAGGGAGTCAGAAGACGAAATTCCTGTTTTACTCCGGAACACAAGACAAGCAAATTGGATTTTAGTACCCATAGTAAAACAGTGATCGGTCAGCGACCATTTGGCAAGACAACTGAGTCAAAAAACGAGTGTGTTGGCCCTATTTTTAGTAAAACAAAAATCAAATCAATATTATTTCATTATTATAATGAGATCTTCATTTAAATATTAAATGAATCAGTCGAATTACGCGTCACAGTGGACATAGACACCTTTCTTTGTTACATCATGAATAAAAATTTACGAAAGGAAAAAAATTGATTTTCGTTAAGGAAAGTTTAATGGAAACCGATATTATGGAGATTAGAGGGGCGGGAGATGGAGCTGCGTCCGGAGAATACATCCGACCTCCTTCAAAACGTTATTCCTGGGCAGAAGTTAGACAAGCAGTTCATGATTTACGAAAAGAATTATCATGTCTCTCCACCATGGTGCCACTAGCTATAAGCTTTAGAAAACTGAGCAATGGGAAGACAAGGATATATTTCTTAAGGAACCCGCAAAATGGATGGGAGATAACACTTTTGTACACAGATGTGACACTATCACAACAGCCAAATACCTCCAGGTAACTTTTTTTCTTTATAAATGCAAAGATAGTTCACATTCAGTCAAGAAATTGGTTGGAATGCGTCCAAAAATCCATGGTCTTAATTATAATTAGATTCATGTTCACTAAAATAATTTTACACAACAATGGTTGTTATATCTCATTGTTATGACTTTTTTTCTAATAGATAACTTTGTTTACGACAGATGAATGATGAATTTATTAACATGTAGGGTTAAGGGCATATTATTCACTATCAACATGTATACAAATAAGCTGTTCCATTTTTAAATTCGCTTAGCAACTATTTTGTCTATGATACCCTCTAAATAGTTAAATATAATTGTTCTTGCCTTATATACTGTCTGAGGGGTGGGTACATAAAATACAAATTTCTAATTAAAGAGTATGAAGCAAGCACAATAGACTCAATACTTGTAGTATTATTGATGTATCAGACCTGTTAATTAAAGAGATCAACCCAAAATTCCTTGTGAATAAGTTATAAAATTATTCTATTCTGTTTATCATTTAATCCAAAGCCATAAATATATATCCAGTATATATTCACAGAGATCCAATATGCTTTTAACAAACAATATTTTGGATGACTTGATCCTTATGTTTTGATGGCCACCCCAATCATAGGACTGAAATGTATGCAACATTGTTCTCGTCAAGCTAATGAAGTTTGTCTTGTTTACTATCTGAAACCAACTGATGCACTCATTTTCTTTATGAAATTATCTTCTTACCCTAAATTTACCTAATTTTAAAGTCTTATCTGAAAACCATTACAAACACATACCCTAAAAAAAGATTTGTGTCAGGCAGGTTCCCAAACCCTATACCATATGACGCATTGTGCCAATCTTCAAAAAGAATTGGCAAAATGACTGGAAAATTATAATGATTCAATGCAATTAATCATATTTATTATATGAATTATTGTTTTCTACACTTTCACGTCTTCTTCATTCGTCAATAAATTTCTTCTTCTCATTAATCAAGTTTGCGTGAAGCGTTCATAGAATTTTGTATGAAGAGTATTATGTGAGCCGTTGCATTATTGCAATTTTTTTTCTTAAAGGTCTTTACGTAAAGAATTTAACCATCAAGTGGTGGGCATGCCCAACAGAATTATACAATTATTTTAGTGTTGCTTTTCTTAAACAGCCACCCATCAAATATTTGGATTTTTAGTTAGAAAATCTCTTTTTCTTCTGAATATGTGATTTTAATTGAAATCCGAATAATATTTTAATAATAACTTTACACATCTTACACATGACCACCTGATCGCAAACTAGGCATAGCCTGTACTATGGTAGCCAGACAGCTGATAAACATACTTATATATTTGTAAACATGTACATATTATAGATAAATTACACCCAGACACAAAACGAATAATCATGCTCATCACACAATTATATGTCCCGGGTGGGAATCAAACCCTCTGGTTTAGCAGTCAGGGTCACTAATCACTAGATCAAAAGGCCAGTAACAATAAAAAAAGGTCTACTTATTCCATCAAATGGAATTTATTACTCATAAACTTGGTTCATGTTTAAATAACAATTTTTTTTATGAACAAGTGCAAAATAAATGTGTCAAAAATGCACCATTTACTTGCTTCTAAATCATCAGCCTATCGCTGTCCACTGCTGAACGAAGGCCTCCCCTAAAGAACTATCCCAGTCTTGGGCATCCTCATACATCCATAAATAAAATAATATAAAATTATTACTTTTTGCAAATTACTTTGAAAATTATGTTTTTTATGTTGTAATTTGTATGGTAATAAATAAGTCTGGCAAAAACGAAAACATATGACTTCATACTTAGATATTGCCAAATCATTGACTTTTAATGAGATATAACAATTTTAATATTATTGTTTATACCTATATAGTTTTCTCACCTATAATACCTATAATAGTAAAACAAATATAGTTTTCTCAGTCAGATTATTTTTGTTTTCACAAACATTCATTTTGTTTCGTTTTAAATAAATTGTTTTAGAGGAACAATTTATTTTAACCATTGGCAATGATGCCATTTTGTTAATTGTTACTAATACAATTTTGATAATAATTATTAACACAATACTTTTTTAATGTTTTGTGTTGCAATAATAATAACACAATTATTTCAGTAATTTATGATTACGGAGAAACAATTTATCATCAACTAGCTCTACCCTGCTAATTGCACATTGAGGTTACGCTGGATGATGATGGTTAAGAATTAAACTACCCTGAAAAATAGAAAAAATCTATTTTTAAATCAGGTTGTATATCATGTTGGCCTGTTGGTTACTTGTGGGTTGGTTGGTTAGTGACTGCTAAACCGGAGGTCGGGGTTCGATAACCACCCAGGACTAATATTGTGTAATGAGCACGGTCATTTGTTCTGTGTCTGCGTGTAATTTATCCATAATATGTATCTATTTAAAAATATATGAGTATGTTTATCAGCAGTCTGGTTACCATAGTACCGACGGCCGTGTGTGAGATATATTATTATATTATATTAAAATTTGAGCTCAATCAAAACCTTTTGAGTTTTTGAAACGTACACAAACCTACATAACGTTGTTATATATTGACACAACTAATAAATGAGTTCACCTAATAAAATGACTTTCCTAACAGCCATTACGTAATTATTTTTATTGAATTATTTAATAATATTAATTTTATTGCCAATCAAAAAATGTAGATACTCAGTTGCAGCATTTGTTATCCGACTCTGCAACCTGCTAGAGTTATTGTTCACATTCCCCAATCCAAGCATAAAAGAAATTACATACATACATAATAAATTTTTCCATCTCCAATGACAAAAATGACCAGTAAATACTTTACGAGACGATACTTTTTACGAGAATTCCGATCCGATTTCACAAATGTCGTAAGAGGAATTCGCATAGTAAAATAGTAAAGTATTCATAGACTAGTAGATTACTGATTTAATTTTCAGTTTTTCAGTTTCAATACTATATAATCACATTACAGTCAACGTTGGATTTTTAATACTTTACTACGAAAACAACTTTTAAAACAGTTGTGACATCGATAGGTAATCGGAAATTCGGTCACAGTTGATTGAATTTTTATTACGTGAATTGGGTTTTTGGTGTACAGGAGTAACAGTAGTGGGCCTGTGGACTAAAAATGTAGACCAAGTGAACTAAAATGTAATTATAATAGTGTATGAGAGCTCCGTGTATTCGTATGGTGACGCATTAAGAATACAAAGTGTCACCACCCCTATTCATCCCGTGGGTGTTGTAAGAGCCGATTAAGGGACTAAACTATGCAGGACAATAGCACTGCAAAGAGAAGGAAAACTTGAGACGAACCCTATACCAACCCGTCTGGCCAGCGTGGTATAGTAGGCCAAGACCCCCTTTCTAAGGAGAGGCCTATATCCAGCAGTGGACTAGTAAAGGCTGTTGATAATGAGAGCTCATAAAAGACAAAGAGAATCACATTTACAAAACCCAAGTACCACTTTCACTGTTGTGTGAAATTTACCAGACACTGAACAAAAAAATGTTTGTCATTGATGAATTAGAATTGCAAATTATAATTACGTATTATGTACATCAATTGCGAAGATTAATTAACTTAATTACCAAGATTTTTTCGTGTATCTGTTAAGCAATTCTTTAAGTGCTTTTAACCGAGTGAGTGAGGAGAGTCCAAACTCGTTCTCCTTTTTTTTCTGTGCGGAAATCCCCCTTTTTTTTCCGTGCGGAAATCCCTTCGGATACCACCTATCGGTGGCATGTCGGACTCGAACCGACTAAAACCGCACGCCGTCTCGGATACTAATAGCCGGGGAACCAGGTATGTCCTAGAAAGGAAGTCCCTGGTGCCAGGGATAACCTAAAATAGTGGGTGCTTACAATATGAAAAGCATCAGCTGTCAAAATGTCAAGTTTGTAGCCCCAGCGGTTTCGGCTCTGCGTTGATGAATCAGTTAGGGCAAGTAATTTTATATGTAAATAAGGAGTCCAAACAAATAGAAAAAGATGCCACCCACCGGTGGGTGGTTATGTCGGACTCAAAACAACCGACCAAAAACTGCAACCGTTTACCATTTGCCGGGGAACCAGGAATCCCTGGTACCCTGACGTACCTCGGGCCATCTACGGCGTGTAGATGACTCACTCCTGTGTGGGAACAATCCCTTTCTCTCCTGAATCTGAGGGTAGTAGAGGTAGAGGCGACTTGAAGGGCACCTACGCACTTGACTAAGTTATCCAGTTTTTTCTTACCTTACCTCCACTTACCTTCTGCATTCGTTTGTCTGAAAACACAAGGGGGGTGGAAACAAGCAAATGGGTAACCTGATGGTAAGTGGCTTCCGCTACCCATGAATGTTTTATGTAATAAAAATAACAATAACCTAACACACGGCCGTGCGATCCCAAATTATTATTAATTCAAACTAAATGCACAAAAGCGCGGACTTTTGTACATCGGCGGACTTAATGCCCAAGGCACTCTCTTCATATCAACCTTTGGGTGGTGGTGTAGAAATCATAATGCACATACATTTATGACATGTAATCAATGAAAATATACACGGTTCACTACATACATAAACGTATACATACACATATACAACACATCACATCATAAATATACATATATATATATATATATATAAACTAGCTGACGTTTTGCAAACGTTGTATTGCAAAACAAAAAAAAATAGGGATGGGTCACCCTTACCATTTAGGGGTATGAAAATTAGATGTTGGCCGATGCTCAGACCTACCCGACGTGCACACAAAATTTCATAAAAATCGGTCCAGCCGTTTCGGAGGAGTATGGGAACTAACATTGTGACACGAGAATTTTATATATAAGATATACTATAAGGTGTACTATAAACTTGGTAGTTCTGCCATTTTATTAAGAACGAGATCATGCACCTTCTTTTCGAATACATAACGGTTAGTGGACATCCTGATTTCGAACGGGAGCCCATTCCAAAGTAGTACTGCTTGAACAAAGAATGAAGACTTCACGATTATGGTGTCTAGATAGACATACTTTAGTATTCAGTCAGGATTACTAATGCCTAGAGTTCTAGAACAACAGGCCCATTAAAATGTTATAATTGTGTCATATTTCTTTGCAGATTAGACTGGAAACCGCTAATAGAATCAAATGTAGCCCTCGGCGTGACCTCTGGGAAATGGTCCAGGGAGGAACAGCTCCTCTGGGAACGTCAGAGAGTCGCTGCGTGGGGTATAGCGTCGTACGAGCTCCACCCTTCCACGGGCAGGATCATGTTTCCATGTGCTTCTTCGTTATTTGTTGCAGACGAAGGTGTCAGTCAGGTAACTATATTGAAGTACCATAGCAGAAGTGGGTCTTTTTCTATTTGTTTGGACTCCTTATTTACATATAAAATTACTTGATTTGTCTGACTGATTTATCAATGCAGGCCCTAAACGGCTAGGGCTACATATTATACACTTGATATTATGGCACCTGATGCTTTTTATATTAGCACCCCCTACTAAAGAATTTTTGGAAATTTTGCCTATAAGGGAGTAAAATAAGGGATTACAGTTCATCATTTTCATAGTTAGAAACGTGAAATGAGAAATAAACAAACGAGCGAACATGTGGGCGATAGCTAGTTACAAAATACAAATCCCTGATCTTCATAACTTGAGCCTGTTCCTTACTGACAAATTTTCTTCATAAAATGCAGGGAATAGTTTTCGTTTTGTTACAGTCACCGCCCCTAGTCCCTCGTTCTCTAAACACGGGGGGTGGCGCACCGCTAACGCCGGCGATGTGTCCCCGATCTCCGGAGCTGATCGCGCACGCCGCTAGAGGGGATATCTGGCTTGCTGGAGGACATCTCCGCAGGCCCACAAGATTAACTTATGCATGTAAAGGACATGAGCCCGAAAGGTTAGTATTAGCATTTGTGGAAGTGTTTCAACTTCCAGATACAGTAAAACAAAAGCATACTTCAGCGTCATCTAACGAAGACACACCGAACTACTGAGTAACATCTAATACTATATCGCGATAACAAAAGCTCTCACGCCGATTAACTTACCAATATCAAAAAGTTGAGCCGCGGTTCGTCAGGCATGATCACCTTGCCTGGTCGTTAGATCCTCCCTGGACTCCCTGTGTTGGACATTACACTCGTTTCTCCAAAGAGAAATGAGTGGTGTATCCCAAAAGTTGATGTTGGGTTGTTATGTACATTAACCGACGCGGAAACTTTCATAGCGCGATGCAGGATTAGTAGTTATTCCATAGTTGATCAGGTCTCCGTTATATGGTACTGAAGTTCTGTTTAATTCATTATGTCAATCAAGCATGGATTTTTTTAACATTCCTCTAGCTGACTCACACAACTTTGTATAAAAGGGAATAAAATTTCCCAATTTTTGCAACATTTTTCATTGATACTCGGCTTCCATTGGTCGTGGCGTGATGTTATATAGCCTACAACCTTCCTCGATAAATGGACTATCCAACACTAAAATATTTTTTCAATTCGAACCAGTAGTTCCTGAGATTAGCGCGTTCAACCAAACTCTTTAGCTTCATAACTATAGATAATATTAAAATATACATCTTAAATAAATATTGCAGGTTAGCAGACGACCCTCGTCAAGCCGGAGTGCCGTGTTACGTCACGCAGGAAGAGTTCTCCAGGTATACAGGGTTCTGGTGGCAGCCTCAGGCCGATGGTGAGCATCTTGCTGTACAATACTAAATTAGTTTTGTGATACAAAAACCGCGAGATCGTACTAATGCGTTGTAGAATGCATTCCATTTTGCTAAACGATGTTATAAAGTCGTAAATGAATGGGTACTCATAACCAGCCAGTAGTAGAGGAGATACAGTCTCCTTCAGAGTGAGAGCTCGGATTTGAGATCGAATGATTCTCATTTCGAATCCCACGCAGTATATTGATATGATCATTTTGTTATTTAGAGGGGTTAATAAGCAAAGTAGTAAGTTTTGAATTACGTAACTTAATGCTTCTTAAAGATATGTTACCGAGGTCACTGCCCCGCTCCTAAGAATTATACCGTGATGTTAAAACATAAATCCTTTCTCAATATTTGGGTTATAAAATGCAAAAAGAATATCTGACCTGACAGGGGTCCTTTATTCTTCCTTTTTAAGCTTAGTTAGCCTTGTTGAGCTAGCATGTTTTATGAAGTGAAACAGTGACGTATTACTTGGTATTTCAGATGATGTATACAGGATAGTATACGAAGAAGTAGATGAGAGTGAAGTGAAGATCTTCAGTTTCCCATCTTCACAGAGCAGTAGTGGAGAAGTTGAAGAATTTAGGTAAAGAACTCTTTATACCTACTTTGATATTGGTGCTAATTCTGTAGTTCGAAAACTCTTTAAACTAAACATCGCTGAAAATTAGTTTAGTCCTGTCCAAATAACGTTTCGTATTCTGAAAACGTAGTACTTGATAGGACTAAACTAGTTAGGGTTCCGTACCTCAAAAGGTAAAAAAGAAACCCTTATAAGATCACCACCGATTTTCTCAGATACTGAGGTCTATGGTTTTAGGTGTATAAAAATCAAGGTCCTGAGTCAACACGATAAAAAGATATGGGCAAATTTCGATTTTCGCGAAAACTTGTACGTACCAAAATTTACCTTAATTTTCAAGTTTGACTATTTTTCAGAATTTTCTCTTTACTTGTGCTGTAAGACCTTGCTTTCAACCAAAATTGACAATCCTAGGTAAACCGGAAGTACCCTATAGGTTTTGAGTCGAAAACCTATGATAGTTTCCGTTGACCTAGAATCACGAAATTTGGCAAAAAGAAACGTCAGCACAAATAACGGAAGAATTCCAAAAAATAAAAAAAAAGTTGGAAATTAAGATAAATTTTGGTACTTACAAATTTTTGCGAAAATCTACGTAAAATCTGGGTAGGTACGGAATCCTCGGCGAGTTCGACTCGTACCTGACCGGTTTTTATTAGTAATTTTTTTGTTTAGTTTAGAGAGTTTTCACAAGAGAGTTTTTTCGGGTAGAAACAACAGAACTAGAACCAATGGTACTAATTCTGTTGTTTGCACGATTGCAAACTACAATCCTGAATCACGATATAGAAGTTAACACTACTACAAACTATAACCATAGTTTTAATTAAACACACTTACTGATAAAACAGCATTGTTCTACAAGCCCATAATGAGAACAACCGTGATTTAAATAGTTTTTTGCTAAACAACTGAAGGCCGATTTCACAAATTTCAAAAAAGTTATTTTTGTAGTAAAGTACTAAACATTCAACGTTGAGTGTCACTTCACATCAACAGCCTTTAACAATCCACTGCTGGACATACGCCTCTCCTTCGAAAGGAGGTTTTGGCCTACTATACCACGCTGGCCAGTCGTGCCAGACGTGCCAGACTGTGGTATACGGTTTGTTTTAAGTTTTTCTCCTCTTGTTTGTTTCTTTGCTATGTTAGTCAGCTGTTACGACACCCGCGGGATGAATAGGGGTGTTGACACTTCGCATTCTTAATCACTCGTTAGCTCATTTGTCATGTATATATTAAATAAATAAAAAATATGATACATGTTCCAGGTTTCCACGTGCTGGCACACCCAATGCTAAATCCTCTCTGAAGATGGTTACGTTTAGGTTACGAAAGGCATCGCCGACCACAGTACTGGATTATTATCAGGAGGCTGCTGAACATTGTGAGTACACCCTAAGTACACTCACTGTATGTTATTGACCCTGACTCCAAAGCCGGAGGTCGTGGGTTAGATTCCCCTACAAATAATTGTGTGATAAGCACGATCTTTTCTGTGTCTGAGTGTATTCTATACTAATTCTAGCTGACCCGGCAAACGTTGTTTTGCCATATACATTATTTCAAACTTTTTTGTAAAGAAAAAAAAATTAGGGGTATGGAAAATAGATGTTGGCCGATTCTCAGACCTACCCGATATGCATATATAATAATATAATAATAATAATATAATATTCTACCACAGACACACAACGCCATCTAGTCCCAAACTAAGCAGAGCTTGTACTATGGGTACTAGACAACTGATATAAATACATAAATATACTTTTTTTTTTGTAAATCCATACATATTATACATAGAAACACCCAGACCAAATCAAACATTAAATGTTAATAATATTTTCAGCTGCGGAACTTACCAACGGAGCAATGGAGGTGACTGACATCCGGTGGTACGAGTTAAGGCAGCCGTTGAAGGACACGTTTCCTTGGTTCGAGTACCTGGCCAGGGTTGGATGGACGCCGGACGGACGATAGTAAGTCTAAACCCCTTGATGCTATTTGATTTTAGACCTTTTGCTTTCTATTTATACTGTTGATTGTTGATGGCACTTGGTGAAACTTGCCACGCATTTCCAAAAAAAAAATATTAAAGTGTTGGTTTTTAATGTCAAAATAATAGATTTTTTTTTCACACGGTTATTTGCACCATACGTATGCCCAAAACCCCGTTTAAATATTTTTTGTCGTTCAGTCTGTTTGTTCCGGGTAATCTTCAACACGGCTGGACCGATTTTGATAATATTTTACTACCACGTAGCTCTTTATATAAGGAATTCCTTAGGCTATATATTCCTCTCAGAAAAACCCTAAAAATTTAACCCGGTCCTCATGGTCTGCAGTCGCGTACCATACTACACCACTAAGGCACTGCTTTCAAATTCCAATTATACTATTCCAGTAATTTTTATTTTACCCTGACCGGTTTCAGCTCACGGCATTTTCAAAGGGTATTATGACATACTGTTTAAATGATCTGATGTTAAGTAGTTATCATAATAACCCTTAAAATGCCGTGAGACGAAACCGTGTAGGTTTTATAAATAACGTGGAATAGTACAAATGACTTTATTTAATAATTTTACTTTATATCAACACCCAGTGTGGCATACAGCCATCCGATTCTATGGGTAAGGCCAAAGACTGCACGGATGGCGTAGTGGTTTAAGCGGTCGCCACGCCGCTCACTACTACGCTGAGTGTTGTGGATCCGATCCCCACGTGGGATGACACTTAGTGTGATCCACAAATTGTTGTTCTGAGTCTGGGTGTTCTTTGTGTCCGTTTCATGTATGTTTGTAAAGTCCCCCGCGACGCAGGATGTATTCCTAAGGCCGGAGTTGTCTTTTTAAGAGAAAAAGAGAATGACGGGGAGTACTCAGGAAGGGATCCCCCACTACCCCCCGCGATTATATCATCATCATCATCAACAGCCTTAAATAGTCACTCGACTACTGGAGAGGCCTATGTCCAGCACTGGCTCTCCTCTCCTTAACCGTAAATATTTTTTTTTGCAAACATAAAATTATTTTTATTTTGCTCATATTTTGTATTTTTTAAAACAGCGCTTGCCATTATATGATATTGATGATGTGACGTAAACCTAACCCTGTACATAATATATTTTAAATTCCACTTTCTGCCTTCTTTCTTTCCAAGTGTGTGGGTCCAACTGCTGGATCGGAAACAGCAACGATTGGAACTGGCCCTGATCCCGCTGGAGCAGTTCTCGTCTCCGACAAGTTACGAACATGCGCCGGATAACCTTCAAGCCAGGAACACCCACTATCATCATGGAGGATGTGATCAGGTGAGGAAACCTGCAATTATTTTAAACCTTATAACCACTTTTAATTGCATTGTTATTATTATCCCTTCATCAACTAAGACATGAGGTAATGATCTTCACAAATTATAGCTAAGAACCATTTCGATCACAATTAAAAGAAAGATACCATACATCATAAACATACATACAACATTTTTGTTTTTTTTTTAAAAGAACGCCCGCATTAGGAATATGTCCTGTGTCGCGGGGGACTTTACAAACATACATGAAACGGACACAAAGAACACCCAAACTCAGAACAACAATTTGTGGGTACCACAAAGTGTCGTCCCATGTGGGAATCGGACCCACAACAGTCAGTGTACTAGTGAGCGGTGTGGCGACTGCTTAAACCACCACGCCATCCGTGCAGTCAAAGTCAAATAATATAAAAACTGTTCAGCCAATTCACTCACACACACAGTTAATTGGCAGAACAGTCACAATGCTATTTACACAGACTGAGTATTTTTATATTAAAGTATGATTATGCATGTATGTGTGTTTATATATTGTGTATACTTCTGGGATTCATTATGTCAAATTTAATATTTTATTTCGCACCTACCGCTTCATATTTCTACATCACCTGAAGGTTGACTGGGAGAGAATGCCTAATGGCATTAAGTCCGCCTTTGTACAATATGTGTATTAAGTTTTTAATAAATAATAATAATAATAACCTCAAACATCTCACACACGGCCGTCTGATCCCAAACTAGGCAGTACTAGTGCTATGGTAACCAGACTGCTGATAAACATACTTAAATAGTTTTAAATACATACATATTATAGATAAATTACACCCAGACACAGAACAAATGACCGTGCTCATCACACAATATTTGTCCTGGGTGGGAATCGAACCCACGGCTTAGCAGTCAGGGCCACTAACTACTAGACCAACAGGCCCGTCAAAAAAATAAATAAAAAACCCGCATCATTATCTGTCCATTGGTTTACAAGCTACGATGGCACGGACAGACATAGAGACACGTCAAACTAGTCTTTTGGCGTCGAGATTAATTATTGTATAGATGAAAATATAAGTTGGTTTGTTTGGTACTAAACGGCTGAACCGTATTATGTGTAATGCTGTTAGATTGTTTTTAGAATCCTGATGTTATATATTGGGAATGTTGTGTTTGCAAAATTGTATAGAAACTTCTACATCGCGCAATTAAAGTTCTCGCGCCGATTAGTTTTATAAAACCATTTCCTAAGATCAACCGTTGGGCCGCGTCCCACAATCACAATTTCTAGCCTAGTTATTCAGATCATCTCTTTGTGCGGGAGGGAATTAACACCCGTTCCTCAACAACTCGATCAATGAATATGACATACCTTCGAACTACTTGAAGCTTCGACCAGATTGCACTAGCCGAGGTACTATATGGGCTCAGTCTGCACTTTATCTGATTACATACTATAATTACAACACTTTATTCTGTTGTCTCTTCACAGCCAATCCAAGAAATCCAAGTCCTAATATCGGAGTCAGCCCCTGACGCGTGGATCAACGTCCACGACATTCTGCACTTCCTGCCAGCTCCTCAGAACCAGGTGTCGTTCATCTGGGCGAGTGAGGAGACTGGACACCTGCATCTGTATCTAGTCACTTGTGCTCTGCTGCCAGCAGCCAGCGAGAGAGCCCGCTGTGAGTACACATTTTATTTATTTCATCATCCAGAGCTTCTAACAGTCCACTGCTAGACACAAGCTTCTCCTTAGGTAGCAGGTTTTGACCTACTATACCACACGCTGGCCAGATGAGTCTTCGCAATTGATGAATTCTTGATCTTCGCAATTGATGTACATAATACGTAATTATAATTTGCAATTCTAATTCATCAATGACAAACATTTTTTTGTTCAGTGTTTGGTAAATTTCACACATTAGTGAAAGTGGTACTTGGGTTTTGCAAATGTGATTCTCTTTGTCTTTTATGAGCTCTCATCATCACTTTACTAGTCCACTGCTGGATATAGGCCTCTCCTTAGCAAGGAGGTTTTGGTCTACTATACCACGCTGGCCAGATGAGTCGGTATAGGGTTTGTCACAAGTTTTCCTACTCTTTGCAGTGCTCTTGTCTTGCGTAATTTGCTCTCTTAGTCGCCTCTTACTCCACCCACGGGATAAATAAGAGTGGTAATTCTCCGTATTCTAAATCCGTCACCTCACGGACGAAAAAACTTTAATATAAAGATATACCTTTGTAAGAACTAACAACATTCCCCATATGATATTTTGACACATTTTTTATTTTATTTGAAGACGAAAATAAGGTTGTAGATAATCTATATCTATACATCTATACAAATAAATAAAATTGGAGTGTCTGTTTGTAATATTAAAATAACCGCTTTTTACTAAATGCATGTGTATGTTTACACGGTACATATGCCAAATTAACATTTTTTACAATTTTTGTCTGTCTGTCTGTCAGTTTGTTCCGGTTAATCACTGGAACGGCTGGACCGATTTCGACGGGACTTTCACTGGCAGATAGCTGATGACATAAGGAGTAACTAAGGCTACTTTTTTAGACTAGCTTCGCCCCGCGGCGTTGCCCGCGGTTATAACAACAAACGTGGGTAACAACGCGGGTCTCAGCTAGTATAATAATATAATGGTTGATAAAGAAACATCACAACTGCACAAAAATTTATTGTAATTAACATTTACAAAACCGGCGGTTTTCATTTTTTTAGTTTTCATATACACAGCGTTACTCTCAAAATTATTTATTTTATATTTTTTTTAAGTTTAACCTTTTAATTTAATAATATATTTCGATTAATAACTTCGATTCCCACCCAGGACAAATCATTGTGTGATGAGCTCAATCAGTTGTTCTGTGTCTGGGTGTAATTTATCTATAATATGTATGTGTTAATAAGTTTATTTAATTAGATAATTTAATTATAATTTTTAATTTTAAACCATAAATTACACTGATTGATTGCTTGTAAATAAAACTTAAATTATCTATATATTAAATAATATTTTTTTTTTTTTTTATTGTCGTTTTATGTTATCAACAGCCGTGATAGAAATGATCGCGGAGGATGAAAGCAACGCGGTGGGACCTAACGTGATAAGCAAGGAGGCGATCACAGCTGGTGAATGGGAGGTGATGGCCAGGAAGATATGGGTAAGTTTATCATCACACACAAAACAGAAAGTCGTCGCGGTACGTCTGGCAGGTGTAATCGAAATTACTTTGTAGAAATAACGAGTATAAAAGATGTTTAGAATAACTCTATATAGAACAACTAAAAATATTTGCCACGACGCATGTTATGTATCTTACGACACCCACGGGATGAATTGGGGTGGGACAACAGCACTGCAAAGAGAAGGAAAACTTGAAACAAACCCTATACCAACCCGTCTGGCCAGCGTGGTATAGTAGGCCAAAACCTCCTTTCTAAGGAGAGGCCTATGTCCAGCAGTGGACTAGTATAGGCTGTTGATGATGATGTTATGTATATTATCACATAGTGTGGCGACACATGCCGTGGCGAAGCGTCGCCACACAGCATTACATGTTACATATACAATCATATAGCGTGGCCACTCGCCACCGCCAGGTCTTTCACATCAAAAACATACTTTAATTTCATGTAACGTAGACACAGTAAAACTATGGAGTAACTATTGATTCTGTACTAGTTAGTATATTATGCCCGTGTGGTGACGGATTAAGAATACGGAGTGTCACCACCCCTATTCATCCCGTAGGTGTCGTAAGAGCCGGCTAAGGGAGCGAACTACGTAGAACAACAGCACTGCAGAGAGAAGGAAAACTTGACACAAACCCTATATCAACCCGTCTGACCAGCGTGGTATAGTAGACCAAAACCTCCTCTCTAAGGAGAAGAATAGACATATCCAGCAGTAGACTATTTAAGGCTGATGAGTTACGTTAGTATATATGTAAATACAACCTCCTAACATCAACCGTCTTGCTGTGGCCGCCGGCCGCCTGGCATGATCACCTCGCTTGGGTTCTCTTTATTTTGGTTAGATTAACACGTTATTTTTACCGCGATCGCGTTCTTTTACGAGGAATTCATCCCATTTAGGAGGCAGACGAGTGGTTCTGGGAGAACGAACTTCTCCCATATCGGGCGCAGGCCTCATGCCACCTTAAGACTGTCTTTGGGTCAATACTGCAGCCTGTATATAGTATTCTGAGGGCCAAGAGCGAGTTGATTACACATCTACTCGGTGACCGCGTTCGGCGCTGCGACTGGTCCTCAAAATCCATGGTCCACTGAAATCTTCACCAATCGCAACGCCAAACGCGCTCGCAGTCGAGAGCGAGTTGATGTGAGGCCTCCGGTAACCTCAATCACTCTGTGAAAAACAACGAATGAATTGCTTAAAAGCGGTTTTTTATTTGGCCGTGGTATCTCCGGTCGAGCGAAGCATGGCTCCTCTACAGATAAACTTTGTTTCCAGGTAGACACAGCGAACCAGTTGGTGTACTTCGTGGGTCTCCGCGAAACTCCCCTGGAGCGCCACCTGTACGTGGCGCTGCTGTCCCCCCCCAGACCACAAACCGTCCAGCTGCTCACCACTGTGGGCCACTCTCGTACTGTAGACATCGACGAGGTTAGTTACGTACATTTAATTATACAATTAAAGTGGCAATAAGCGTAGAAGGCTTTTAATAAATACAATTTGTAATAATAATATTGTTGAAATTCATGTTTTTTATCTTTTATTTATATTATACTACTTGTCTTCCATAGTTTCAAATGCCTTTATGGTTACTGCGTCCCCAAAAAGGGTAGAATAATGTTACATAACCCATAAACCTTTGGATTGAACATTCGATTTAAAACAAAAAATACACTAATAAAAATTAAATGAAAAAAAATGAACTTGTTTTTTTTCTCGGTTATTGTAGGGCTGTTACTAAGTGATAAATTATCGTATTGAAAATCTTGGCAAAGCATTTTGAAGCTCTAAGATTCTACTTTTCGGATCTTTGGCTTCACGAAAGGGGTTACAACACGGGCCAATAAAAAAAAAAAACAAAATTTATGTCGTCTTCTCTACGGGTTCGATTTGTTTTTCAGTTAAACCTTATGGGTCTGATAGCTTGTTAGTTCCGCTTTAATTTTCCTTTTTTTAGATCCATGCTACGTTTATTTGTCGCGGAGATATTCGAAATTTAACGAAAAATAACCTTTTTTAAAGATTACACTATACAACTCGAAAAAAACTAGTTCTGAATAAAAGTGTTGTTACAGGAGTGCTCGATGGCGGTGATCACATCTTCAAATATAAGCAGTGTGCCCGTCACGAGGGTGTACAGGATCTGCACATCACCATCACCAAGGTTGTACCCTCTAGGTACCATCACAGATCGCACTCCTTCCGGTAAGAATCTTTTCTTTGAAATCTAAATAGCTTATTCATTTAAACTTCAGCCATATATAATAATAATAACTCCACACATTTCACTGAGTGAGTGAGGTTAGCGGAGCCCAAATCTCCCCTCCCGCTGACTCGAGCGGAGGGACTCCAAAGGCGGCAACGTACTTGTGACTTTTGAGTTGCAGGTGTCCATGGGCGGCGGTAGTTGCTTACCATCAGGTGACACGTCTACTCGTTGGCCCCTCATACCATAAAAAAACACATCTCATACACGGCCGTCTGATACCAAACTAGACAGAGCCTGTGTTATGGTAACCAGTCTGCTTCCTTATGTCTTAATAACAGCAGTTCCCGGACTCCTATCTCAGGTGCGGAGTGGCACACCGTGTGGTTTTAGTTCGTTCGATTCCTACACACCCCCGCGCTGCAAACCCCGGTGGGGTGACGGCCCGAGGGCGTATCCACATGTAAAAAAAAAAAGAAAATGGTAACTAGACTGCTGATAAACATATTTACATATTACTAAATACACACATATTATATGTAGCTAAATTACACCCAAATATGCAAATGATCATGCAAATCACACAAATTTTCGTCCTGGGTGGGGAATCGAACCCACAACCTCCGGCTTAGCAGTCAGTGTCATGAACCACTAGAAACAGGCCTGTCATATCTTTAAATATTTACACTGTGTGTTTTACCATAGTTTGTAAATGAATTCTATATTGTCTATTGTTTGACCAGCTGACTCCATAGAGGCGAGGTACAACGGCTCCTGGGAGAGCAGGTGTGATGAAAGCGATGAGACAGACGGTGAAACTATATCACTAGCCAGAGGTGTGTATTTAGTTTTAGGGTGGTGATAGGGTGAAGGTATGGAGTAGAAGGTTATCCTACCTGTCGAAACTTGTTTAACTTAGTAATGAATATAGAACATGTTTGAGTGGCGAGCTAAAATAAAAAAAGAATCTTACTATCCATCGGCTTCAGCGTCAGACCAAAATTTATTTATTTACTAGCTGGACTTCGTTCGGGTGGAATTTGAAAAGCGTTGCCATATTGAGTTTTCTAAGAGGAAAAATAGCCTAAATTACTCCTTATATAGACAACTACCTGGTTGTAAAATATTATCAAAATCGGTCTAGCCGTTTAAAAAAAAATACCTGGAACAAACAGACAGACAAAAAAGTTGAAACAGGTTTTTTAGGCATATGAATCAAATAACCGTGTGAGCATGAAAAAAACTTATTATTTGGACATTACAAACAGACACTTTAATTTTATTATTTGTATAGATAACTTGGAGGACCGATAGATTTGACAAATTTGTTTAACGTAGAACATTGCATTAGTAAGCCAATTACAGATCCCCACGTTGAGTTCAGTAGATAGGGCACAAACTTTGGGCAGCTTCTCTCCTAGATATACTAGGAGAGAAGATCTCCTTCATATACTAGATATAAAATAGTAGTAAACTGTAATTATGTAAAGTCTAAATGTTACATCTAATACGTATGTTATACAATAGTCTGATTCTGGCCAATAACGGAAAGGCCAAAATATTGTTGCATACTCCAACTTTCTTTATGTCCAGAAGTAGGTTGAAATTGACGATTTTATTTATTTATCTTAGGAAAGCTTACAGACTAATATTAACATACACGGCTGAGTAACGCTTAAATTGCTAATAAAAAGCTTCCACATATAAATAACCTAATAATAAACCACAGTTATACATAATATTCCCAGTTGATCTGAACAGCAAGTGTCAGCTTACTAATTAGTTAAAGTAAAGCTAATAATAGCATTTACTGATCTGCCTGCGTGCGTGTTTGCAGGCGTGCGTGCATGTGTATTTATGTGTGTATGTAGTAATGTATGAATAATTTTGCAGAACGATCTCTTAGCATATCCGCAGTGCCGGCGCCGCAGATCTACTCCACGCGGCTCTCGTGCGGCGCCACGGCCTACTGCACGCTCTGGCGCTGCGCCCGCCCCGGCCGCAGCCCCACCGTCCTGCATGTGTACGGCGGGCCCGAGGTGCAGACCGTCACCAACAGCTACAAGGTAACCGCTGCACGTGTACGGCGGGCCCGAGGTGCAGACCGTCACCAACAGCTACAAGGTAACCGCTGCACGTGTACGGCGGGCCCGAGGTGCAGACCGTCACCAACAGCTACAAGGTAACCGCTGCACGTGTACGGCGGGCCCGAGGTGCAGACCGTCACCAACAGCTACAAGGTAACCGCTGCACGTGTACGGCGGGCCCGAGGTGCAGACCGTCACCAACAGCTACAAGGTAACCGCTGCACGTGTACGGCGGGCCCGAGGTGCAGACCGTCACCAACAGCTACAAGGTAACCGCTGCACGTGTACGGCGGGCCCGAGGTGCAGACCGTCACCAACAGCTACAAGGTAACCGCTGCACGTGTACGGCGGGCCCGAGGTGCAGACCGTCACCAACAGCTACAAGGTAACCGCTGCACGTGTACGGCGGGCCCGAGGTGCAGACCGTCACCAACAGCTACAAGGTAACCGCTGCGCGCTGCACGTGTACGGCGGGCCCGAGGTGCAGACCGTCACCAACAGCTACAAGGTAACCGCTGCTCGCTGCACGTGTACATGGGCCCGAAGTGCAGACCGTCACCAACAGCTACAAGGTAACCGCTGCTCGCTGCACGTGTACGGCGGGCCCGAGGTGCAGACCGTCACCAACAGCTACAAAGTAACCGCTGCGCGCTGCACGTGTACGGCGGGCCCGAGGTGCAGACCGTCACCAACAGCTACAAGGTAACCGCTGCTCGCTGCACGTGTACATGGGCCCGAAGTGCAGACCGTCACCAACAGCTACAAGGTAACCGCTGCTCGCTGCACGTGTACGGCGGGCCCGAGGTGCAGACCGTCACCAACAGCTACAAGGTAACCGCTGCTCGCTGCACGTGTACATGGGCCCGAAGTGCAGACCGTCACCAACAGCTACAAGGTAACCGCTGCTCGCTGCACGTTTACGGCGGGGCCGAGGTGCAGACCGTCACCAACAGCTACAAGAAAATGATGCTCACTGCCGGCCGACTAATTTTGATAAAAGTAGGTATAGAGGTAGCTGACACCCTGGATAACACATACTACCACTTTTTATCCAGGATGAGGAAGATACAATAATACCACCGCGGGGCACAGCTGGCATACAAATAAGCGCTGCCATTATGGAGTAGTAGGATAGCTCCAAATACCAATTTTACTGGCCGGTTCACTCATTAATAAAGGGTCTGGGATATGTCAGAAAATCAGTTCTATGTCACTGGTTGACCTAAAATTTAGTCTCTTAAGTAAAAGATAGTGACGCATCCATCAAGTTCCAAGACATCGTTTCGTAAGAAAACTTGGAACCTGATTGGACAGGATTCGGGGTCTGATCGATGCGTCACCATTTTCTTAACGCGAATGGACTAAAGTTAGTTTTTACTCAAGGCATAATTTCTAATTTCTCAGGGTATCCGTCAACTCCGCATGCATATGCTAGCTGCCCGAGGGTTCAATGTCGTGGCGGTAGACTCTAGAGGGTCCAAGCACAGGGGCAGGGCGTGGGAGGCAGCCATCAAAGGGAAACTTGGTCAGATCGAGTTGGATGATCAGGTAAGTTTGATTGAGGGGGCGGTTTTGGTAGCATGAGGTTTGGTAGAATGGACTGTGTGGACTGTGTGTGAAAGAGGATATGGTTAGAAAGGGAATGAGGAAGGTACTGACGAATGATAGAATAGAATGAAGGAAGAAAACGCATTGCGCTGACTCCAGATTTCGTAAGAGCAAGAAGATTTGATGATGATGATAGTACAGCTTAAAGCAACATTAAGGGGAGAGACGTTATGGCTTTCAGTAATCTCACTCTCTTGTGAAATGCTTACCACCAGCTTTCTGTAAGGCCGTGGTTATCAGAAAAGAAAGAAAACATATTTTTATTCCTGAAATACACGACGGCACTCTGGTCGAGCTGTCATGTCTGGTTAAATATTCATTCTATTCATAATTTTGGTTATTTGTCAGAAATAAAAGAAGAATAGTTATCAATTATATACAATGATGGATATGGGTGAAAACCCATAGCCACACACAAACTTCTGTATGTTAATCAGCTGCCTCTCATGAGCAGCTTTTGCAAGAAGCCGTAGATAGTATAATATTTCATCATCATCATCATCATCAGCCTTCAATAGTCCACTGCTGAACATAGGCCTCTCCTTAGAAATGAGGTTTTGGCCTACTATACCACGCTGGCCAGACCGGTTGGTATAAGGCTTGTTTCAAGTTTTCATTCTCTTTACAGTGCTGTTGTCTTGCGTATTTTGCTCCCTTAGTTGACTCTTACGACACCCACGGGATGAATAGGGGTGAATATAATTACTTAAAGCTACCATTATATGTTAACTGAATGTGATATCTAGTAACAAACAACAAATAACTTACTAACAGAACATGAAAATACATCAATCTTGTCCGTTGTATAATATTGTGGCGCCATAGAATTAAATGGTTCTGGTGTTGAGTTGTTAGTTCACGAACGATCGAGAGCCGTATGGAATCTTGAGGACAGCGCCATCTAGTATCAAGTAACGCAACGAACGGTTCATAATTCCGATACTTGCAGCGCCATTTAGTGTCGCGGTTAACGGAAGATTATTGGTATTGGAAATTCCTTATTACCTGGAATCTATCGAATCCTAGGGACTATCAAGGGTTTTTGGTAGCCCTATAAAAGCGGAGCCTGTTGGCCGTACGGAGTATTGTTTTACGAGACAGCGGATTAACATCTAAGCGATCTTGTAGTGCGACCTAGGATTTATTTAGAAAATTATTCTTTGTAAAAGTGAGTGTTTCTAAATATAGTTTTAATTTTGGTAATTAACCGCCTAGTTTTGCTATCGAATTTCCGGCTCGTAGCAGTTTAATGAAAATACTGTTTATTTTTGTAGGTGGAAGTTTTGCAATGGTTGGCGAAAGAGACTGGCTGCATAGACATGGAGAGGGTTGCGATACATGGGTGGAGTTATGGTGAGTTTTAATTTATATTCAAGCTTCATTTCTGTCCGGGGTAGGCAGATACGATGAAAGCCATTTGCCCAGACCCTGACGCTTTTTTACACATCAGGCCTTTGCTTACCAGATCATTCCTCTCTTTAAAAGTCAAGCGAAGATGTATTAAATGTTATAACATGTTCCTTAAAAACAAGGAGCTGAACAAGGGCGAGGAAGCCAGGTATACAGATACCTTTGGCTTGGATATGGGTTTGAAAAGGCAGAGGTTACGTACCCCTATGTCTGGTTGGGGGTTTGGTCAAGTCAAATTAATTATCAATGCAGAATAAACTTATTTGATGTGACATTAAATTATTTATTGCAAGTTGATGATACGTCTATTTCTTCGCTATAAAAATAAAGGTATAATTATTATGTCAGAATAATAGTCGAGAATTTTGAATGCGTGATGTGAGAAATGAAGTTTATCACGTAGTACGAGTAACGTTCGTCAGATGGCGCTGAAACGTATTCGTTCGTGTGCAGGCGGCTACCTGTCGCTGCTGGGGCTGGCGACCCGGCCCAACATCTTCCGCGTGTGCGTGGCGGGCGCGCCGGTGACGTGCTGGCGGCTCTACGACACCGCCTACACCGAGCGCTACATGGGCGCCCCCGCGCGCGCGCCGCACGCCTACACGCGCGCCAGCGTCCTCGCGCACGCGCCCTTCTTCCCCGACCAGTGAGTAGCGCGCACCGCACGCGCCACACCTACACCTCACACTTTACCTACGCCTTATCTACACTTCTCATCTCTTTAAAAAGACAACACCAGCGTTAGTAATATATCCTGTGTCGCGAGGAACTTTACAAACATACATAAAACGGACACAAAGAACACCCAGACTCAGAACAATAATTTGTGGACCACACAAAGTGTTGCCTTATGTAGGGTTTGAACTCACAACACTCGACGTAGTAAAAAGCGGCGTGGCAACCGCTTAAACCAACTATGCCATCCGTGCAGTCAAGCTCGGGAGAGCCGTGCTTCGGCACAAATGGGCCGGCGGCCGGCAAATCGATTCCAGGGTCAGACCAAATGTTTGTAAGATCTACTAATATTTTTCTCGGAGTTTGGGTGTTTTCTATGTTAAATATATATGTATTTACAACAACAAAAAAACTATAGAAGTATTCTAACAGTCAATTTAGTTTTCATCGTAAAAACCTTTGCTTAGTTTGAAACGTGTGAAAGGTGTTCTATATCAGACGTACGAAAAAACTCTCGAATTACCACCGGGTGATCCATCTAGTCATTCGTCCTTATATGGTATAAAGAAAAAAAAAACCACTACACACTCACGTCCTCACCACGCACTTTCTTCATAGACCAGTGAGTCCATCACACCTCAAAATTTACTATTTTCAGAGAAGGCAGGTTGTTAATCATCCACGGCCTGGCCGATGAGAACGTCCACTTCTGCCACACTGCTGCGCTCACAGCTGAGCTAGTCAGGCTCGGGAAACCCCACAGAGTACAGGTATGGTTTACCAGAATATTCTAGAACACGGCGATATCTGGATCTAAATTAAGCGTAGCTTCTACTATTACACACGGCATATTAAATATGACGAGCCTGTTGGTCTAATGGTTGGTAACCCTGATTGCTATGCCAGAGGTCGTGAGCTCGATTCCCAGCCAGGAAAAATATTATGTGCTGAGCACGGTCATTTGTTCATGTGTCTAGGTGTAATTTATCTATAATATGTATGTATTTAAAAATATATAAAAATGTTTATCAGCAGTCTGGTTACCTATCACATCCCAGTTTGGGATCTGACGGTTGGTGTGGGATGTCGAAGGGTATTATTATACTGCCTGCCTTCCTTCTCATTTCATTTCTAAAGAGTTAATCAATAATAATAAACTTGAATGCCTAAATAAATATTTGCGCCAAACGGTAATCAAACCCCACTACAAGTTTTAAATACTATTTTTTATTATTATTGTTCATTTTAGGTATACCCCGGAGAAAGGCATTCACTTCGGGCGATGCACGCAGCGAAACATTACGAAGCGACATTGTTACATTTCTTACATGAAAATCTGTAGAAATACAATGTATTTACACACTGAATGAAATACCGCACAGTATGGGATCGAGTCACACGGGTGGAAAATATGAAATATTTTTTTATTCTATTGGTTATTATAACGGGGAGTAAGTATGAAGGAAGGAATGACAGCGACTTGTCCTTATTGATAGTAAGTGGTCATCTGCACTTGTGAACGCAGAAGTGACGTCACTTGCTTGTTAATTACTCTGTTACCCTACTTATACACTACAGGTTCTTTTAGAGGACTTGCCTTCTTTTTTATGGTATAAGGGAGCAAACGAGCAGACGGGTCACCTGATGGTAAGCAACTACCGCCGCCCATGGACACCTGCAACTCAAAAGTCACAAGTGCGTTGCTGCCCTTGGAGGGAGGATTTGAGCTCCGGTAACCTCACTCACTCAGTGAAAGGCAACGAAAGAATTGCTTAACACCGGTTTTCTGTGAAGCCACACTCACTCCGGTCGAGCCGGCCCATTCGTGCCGAAGCATGGCTCGTCCACAGGCGAAACATTTTCAAACAAAGTTCTAACTTAATATTATAAAAGCAAAAGTAACTTTGTTTGTTATTCTTTCATCCCTTAAGTACTAATGATATCTTGTTTGTTGACGAAATCTAAATTTGCGAATTTGTGGACATTTTGTAAGCAACCCCCTAAACCTCGATAATTACAAAGCGTGAACTTTATCCAGGACATAACTATTAATTAACCCTGATTTTTACTAAAGAGAAGGTGCTTTCTAGTTCAAAAATCTCCTGTTAGAGATGTCTATATTTGTAAGATGCCTTATATATATGAGAATTATTCCTGGTTTTTTTTTTTTCTAAGTGATATCGTAAGGTCTACAAGTGAAGGTGACCGCTTACTATCAAAAGGCAAGTATGCATCCCCATCTTAGTCACATCCACTTATATCAATGACATTAGGATATGATATACAAGTATTAACATTTTGACTGCCAGGCATGATCTCAAAATGTCATTTGGTATAGTAAACCCCCATGGGCGAATGAAATAACAATGAAATAACATGAGATAAAGTCGTCTGTTTTATTTAATTTAGAGATGTTTAAAAAGACCAACTTCTTTGTGAAAAAAAAGTCATTCAGGTCCATGTATTGTAAGTCCCACATTACTTAATCTTATTTTCTCAAAAGATCTATAATTTCATATTGACTTAATTTATTTTAGCAATGTTTGAGTCACTTCAAAGATATTTCTATGAAGGGACTAAACTGTTACTCTATCGGGACTATGTTCAGTTGTGAGGGACTTCTTTCGTTTGAGTGTACCAGACTATCTTTAGACTGAATGTAATTCTATCTTTGTTATTTTGTACGCTTGATTCCTAAGCGGTTCTTGTAAAAAGAGCTTTTCGTTCTAGAACATTCTTCATGAAACATACATTACGTTTAATGTATAATAAAGTTAGTTTTTACAATAATTATGTTTTGTTTTTGTACATACGCAATAACTGTGCTAATTTCATAATTAGCCATAATTATTCGATATAAAATCAGGAAATCGTGTGAATGTTAATATATATGCATTCATCATAATATACTGGCGTCTATTCTGTAGGTGACAAATAGGCCTGGTTTGGACCAGGCCAATCGACCCCTTGTTACTTGGGTAACGAAGAGGGGAGGAATGAGGTTGATTAAGAGGGTGCTGGCAACCTAAGACCGTAAATAGAAACAAATATACTTAAATTTAGACGCTCTTGAGCATGTAAAAAAAAGTCTTGTATTGTTTTAGTCCACCATAGATTCAAGATTTTTCTGTAATTGGACTAAAAAAGAGTGTTAAAAGATTAGAATTTAAATTGTGCTTTTCTTCGGAGAGACTATGGCATTGCTTCTGAGAGACTAAAAGTGTAATCGGTATATTGATGATTTTTTAAATCCATGCGAATTCAGCAGATTGGGTTGAGGTGATTGTAAGAGAAAATTATGTACTTCATTTTATTTAGGAAACAGTGCGATAATGATATTCTGCTAGGTATACTGTGAGGACAGAAAACTCACCCTGGAGATTTATACGGAGTTTCTACTCGAAAGATACATCTATAGATGTATCGTGGAGGTGTCAAGGGAGTGAGGAGGCTCATTCTTATGATGGCTTTGTCTCGACGGTGGTCGTACTATCACTTTTTAACTTTTTAGTCTCCCGAAAGGAGTAAGAGATGGTAATGGACTTAGGTCGAGGGAAGTCGGGGTTTGTTCGAGCCTTTAGTTATAAAATTTTTAGTAATAATTATACTAGCCCATTACTTATGATTATAAAATGTAAATATTTTTTAATATTAATAAAAAAATATATGTTTTTAAAATCTTTATGCGTTTTATTCCGTGTGGTGACGAATTAAGAATACGGAGTGTCGCCACCCCTATTCATCCCCTGGGTGTCGTAAGAGGTGACTAAGGGAGCAAACTATGCAGGACAACAGCACTGCAAAGAGAAGGAAAACTTGACACACCCTATACCAACCCGTCTGGCCAGCGTGGTATAGTAGACCAAAACCTCCTTTCTAAGGAGAGACCTATGTCCAGCAGTGGACTATGAAAGGCTGTTGATGATGCGTTTTATTTCTTGAAATGTCAGTTGTAAGCTGTGACATTGACACAGACTATCTAGACTCAAACTTAGCATAGCCTGTGCTGTTCTTTCTAAATATATACTTATATACTCGTTAAGAGTCTTAGTGGTTGTCAGTTCGATCAACACGATTGGAATATCCGACGCTCTCACGGAGGCGGCCCTAAAAGGAATAAACAGGTAACGCGACGTGCTTAAACCGGGGTAGACTCTGCTCTCTGTGGTGTGGCAGCCAGGCTTTAAAGCTGAAGATTTTTTGGATACTCATTTGTTTCTTTGAACGCTCTAATCTCAGGAACTACTGATTTGAATAAAAAAAATGTGGCATGTGATGAGCACGATCATTTGTTTTGTGTCTGGGTGTAATTTATCTATGTATAATGTGTGAAAGTATTTAAAAATATAATAGCTCTGGTTACCATAGTACAGGCTCAGCCTAGTTTGCGATCAGACTGTCGTGTGTGAGATTTGTCGAGTTATTATTATTGACCTAATTTATTGATTATTTTAAAGACAACTCCTGCAGTAGGAATACATCTTGTGTCGCGGGGGACTTTACAAACATTTATAACACGAACACAAAGAACACCCAGACTCAAAATAACAATTTATGGATCACATAATGTGTTGTCTCTTGTGGGGATGAACAGGAACACTCAGCGTAGTAGGGAACGGCAAGGAGACTGCTTAAACCACTACGCCATCCGTGCAGTCGACGAAGAAAGTCTAAAGACTAACAATCTACTATCAGCGAGGAAGAAAAAAGTTCAATAAAAACAGTATTTTTTTCAAGTCATCTTTATTAACTATTGTCGATTTTATACCACAAGGTTTCCAAACCCCAGTTCTCCATTTTCTTGTCCACCCATTGTCTGTACTTTGGCACATTGGTGTACAGCGCTGGGGTAGCCTTTTGTCCACAACCGATGCCCCAGGAGACGAGACCTGTCAGTTTGTATCTGTCGTTGCCTATGGGACAGACCAATGGGGCGCCACCATCACCCTGTGAAAAAATAAATGATACGTTACATATGGCGTAGGGTTAAAGCGGTCACTTCGCCGCCGCTTCCTACTGCCCTAAGAGTTGTGGGGTCGATCCCCACATGGGAGAACACTGTCTGATTCTTAAATTGATGTGATGATGATTGAGTCTGGGTGTCCTTTGTGTCCGTTTGATGGATGTCTGAAAAGTCCTCTGCGACACTGGATAATATATTATTAGTTCGGCAGTTGCTTTTTTATAGAAAAAATACACAATCAAGCCTGTGTCCCCTAAGGAGTAAGTAGAGTCGTTTTAAACACATTCTGTTAACATCATTAGGTGAAATAATTACATGAAACGGACACAAAGAACACCCAGACTCAGAACAACAATTTGTGGATCACACTAAGTGACGTCCCATGTGGAGTTTGAACCCACAACACTCGGCGTAGTAGAAAGCGGCGTGGCGACCGCTTAAACCACAACTCCATCCGTGCAGTCAGTCTTTGCCTGTCAAATCGGCACTTGGCCATCAACGATATGAAATTAGGAGTAAATATACATAATCAGCATTTCAGCCGAAAGACGTCCACTGCTGGACACAGGCTTACCGCAAGGCTCTCCGCAACTACCGGTCCTATGCTGCATGCAACGGCTTCCCGCGACCTTAACCAGGTCGTCGGACCAGGAGTTGTATATAAAATTAGTTAAAAAGTGAAGGCAATAGCAGGAACGAAATTTTACTCATATGGATGGATGGAAGAATGTAAGCAGAAGCTCGAACAAGTCATGGTTGTATGACTGGAAGTGGCTGTTGTCTGATGTTCCAGCTTCCTCTGACAGCTGAAAACAAAATATTTTCGTGATTTCTTACCTGGCACGTGTTCTTGCTTTCTGCCCCACCACCACAAATGAAGCTGGAATGCAGTCTGAAGTTAGATCCTAGTCTGGTCCTCTTCAGCAACGTGGAGCAGCGAGTGTAAGGAATGATGTCGATTTGCACTTTCTTGAGAATAGAAGAGTGCTGAGTTTTTGGTCCTACGAGCACAGAAACATCTAAAGAACGGTATTGAAGTTATGGTCTTTCGGTCGCATTAGAATACATATTTGGTAGATGATAGGGAGTGGTAACCGAATAGGTTAACACATTGCAAAGTTAAGCAATCCTAGCCAGGTCAGTCTATAGGTGGGTGACCATTCTTAACACATTGAGACCCCTACGTCACACGGAGACGTCCCGGTTGCCATATGAACATCTGTGGCAATTGTTACGGGAAGTTGGAGCTCTAAAAGTCCGACCTCAGTTTTGGATATCGTAGTATTTGGGTTGACGAGGTCTGATGGCAGTCGCTCCACGTAAAAAATCGAAGATCAGCCGTATCGTAGAAGACTTAAAGCCGAAAGAGGCTCGGAAGAAGAAGAAACGACAAAGCAGTATTGTTTACTTACCAGGAGCAGTCTTATCCCATCCGTTGGCGATGCAGTTCTTGCACCTATCAAAAACCTCGTCCTGCTCCGGCAGACAGACGACGTTAACGTGATCAGTCAGGTCCAGCGGCTGTTCCAGACGTATGAGAGCAATATTGTGTCTCGGATTTGTCCTATTAAACTCTGCAAGTAAAAGAATCTTATATCACTAAACTGACTGTTCTTTTTGTAGTAAAGGGGGCAACGAGCACACGGGTTCACATGATGGTAAAAAACTAGCATCATACATGGACACAAGTGAGGTGTTACCTTTTGAGTGTCTCTCTCCCCAGTATACTTGGGATTGGAAGAAGGTCTGCATTTCTGATAACCTCACTCATTTGGAATGAAACGAAAGAACAGCTTAACACTGGTTTTCTGTGAGACTGCGGTGTCCGGTCTGGCCGACCCATTTGTCCAAAAGCATGGCTCTCCTAAAATATTCCTTTTACCCGTATTTGTGACGCAGGAGCAATCGCTATTTTAAAGTATCACGCTATTTTGTATTTTTCCATGGATAAAATCAGTGTAATACAAAAATCGTAAACAAAGCAATTAAAGTACTTCGATGTATGCAATACCTGGCAAACATACTATTCTGATTGACGTGTTATGACGTCTTGTGCGACAAAACGTGACGTGTTCAAACTCAAACTCAAAATATCTTTATTTCATTGTTTTTTTAATTGTTTGAAATCGTCTCTTTTGTAGACTCATAGTCATAGATCAACACACACAATAGCAATAATCTCTGTTTCGTCAAATATTTAGCAAACTAAATATATACGTATCGAAAATCTCTTATATGCCTGTGCCGATCTACAACCGCCCGTTTCCAAGGGGTTGAGACTTATGAGAAGAAAGGGCAAACAAACTCAAGGCCACTCTTTTAAAATTTATACAATGGCATCATTAAATAAACTACAACATTGTTTTAATGTGTGCAAGTATGTCCGTTATTAAGGACTAAAAGGTAAAAAGACTGATGTTCACGCGTGAGGCGCGTGGGCAACCAGCGAGGGAGCAGAGGGCACGGCGGAACGCGCTTGGAGCGACGATTGCGGCAATAGGGAATATGCATGTATTTTTTTTATTTTTTTAAACGATTCTACTAGTTATTACATTAACAAAAATAAATATAACACATCCGAAATATAAACCGTTAAGCAAAATTTTTTTTATTAAAATCACTATCATTTTGGGGCAATTTGAACACGTCCATTTTGGCGCGCTTCTTTTGTGACGTCAGATTCCACTTTCAGACGAATTCAATGTCAACAACGGAGTTAAGTTCACAAAGTTTGTGAATGTTAAAAAAGTGAGTGATAAAAATTAACTTATTACCATGGAAAAGCCAATAAAAACTTATTATAAATATTGTGCCGTATAAATATTGGGCACAAAGCCCAAATTATATCAAAACTGCACCTGACAAAGTGCAATTTTAAATATTCAGTCATTGTGTTGAGTCTTTCTACACGGGAATTTAATAATTTAACACTGAAAACGTATTGGTTATTAACTTAAAATGAAACAAATAATCACCGGAAACCAAATATTACAAATACACACAACTTGTTGACACTCTTGACAGTGTAGGTTGACGTCACGTTTTATTCAACCAATAGCGTTGCGTTTTAGAAATTTGCGAGGGAATCTTAAAAAAGCCAATTTTTGATGATTAAATTTCAGTATTAAATTATAATAAATTTTAAAAATAATTGTATGGGTATCTTTTTTTAGCAACAAAAATTACAAATAAAAATATTTTGTCCATTTCGGTGTCACGTGCATATTCCCTATTGATGGTGTCACGAGCCCCTCCACTTGACGACCGAGCGGCGCACAAGACACACGCGTTAATCCGAGACAGAATCGATAATCTTTTAATACTACATGTACAGTTTAATAAAAATAAGTTTAAAATACAGTCCACATTAATTTATAACTTTGCTGCAATACTCGAACAATAAAGAGAAAAATAAGATTAAGAAAAAACAGTTCAGTACGTAACACGACGTTTAGTCGTACCTGTGCTTTGATCCAATAACCTTGCTATACATAGTTACAGCGAATATTCACTGGGCAAATCGCTCTGCCGCGGTTATATACGTAACTTGTATCTAAAAATCTACAAGTATCTTTCGTATTGATTCTCTGTTACTCAGGGGTATCAAATATCTAAAAAACTTACCATTAAGAATGTAAATTTCCTTCACATTCCTGTCCTGGTGACCGTAGATCTCTGTTGACTTACTCATATCCCATTCTCCAGCTCGAATCTTGAGCGAGTTTGGACAAAATCTGACAAACGAAAAATACATTAAGATGACTATGACTTGTAATAAAAAGGTCTTTTCTCTTTACGTCTCTCATCATAACTACTCGGCTCGGCCGGAACGAGAAAGCCGCTACTAAGCAAATTTTTCGTTGCTAATCACTTAGTGAGTCAGGTAACCGTAGCCCAACCAGACTCCTCTCCTAATTCGGGGGGTCGAGGAGGGCGCACAGGCCTTATTTCGGCGGCCGGTCGCTTAGTCTTAGTCAAGAAGTGTAAGTCTTCTGCTGTGTTGCGACTTACTAGGCAGTAATCGCTATCCAAAGTAGTCGTGTCTATTTAGCAAGGACATTTCAATTTCAAAGTAGTCTTAATCATCCAATTTAGTCGCTCATGCGTCTGCATCCTTGGTATCCTATTCCATATAAATAGTATATTACATTTCTAGTGGAAAGGTTCTATCGTCGATTCGGTCATGAATAAATCGTTTTGTCGGTGAACCGTTCGTATTTGAAAGGTTCTGTCGTTGAACAACTCATAAACGAAACATTCTGTTGGCGACTCATTCGGCAGAGAAATGTTTACCAGAGGTTAATTTCAGAATCGTTCTTTCTCACCTGCATACAACATGAGCGGTGGTGATCACAACTTCAGGACTGATGAGGGCTCCGACGCCAACGTATCTTTGGTCCGTGGAGTTCAGCAAAGCAATCACCCACGGGAACTCACCAAACTGGGTGCCTGAAGTCTGTAATTTTGTAAATATTCCCTTTATCTAAATATTTAAGAGATTCCCAGAATTTTGACCTTAACATCAACTGCTCTGTATTAAAGTTGTAATAGCAAGTGCAGAGCTCTAATCATTATAAATTTAAGATGAAACTTTACAAAGAACAAAGTGACGCCGGTTTTATAAACATATTGTGTGCGTGGGCCGGTGCTGCAATCATAACTTTATTTCCTTGAAAATATTGGTTTCTACGCTTACTTGTGCAAAATGCGATTCATGCTAGTTTGATTTTTACACCCTTCCACAACACAATGCGGTATTTTTACTTGTTATTTATTTACTTTTATTTTTATTGTTGACGTTTTGTCTGATAGTTTAGTTGTACGTACGTACGTTGTAACTGAAGGTGTTTTTGTAGGGTTTCTAGCAGGCTCCCTTTTTAGGTTATCGAGTCCTCAACTAGTTAGGGAACAGTGAATCTAAAATTATGTATTGAATGTCCAATGGTAGCGGTACTCACTAGCCATTAGCTGACTCGTCTCCCCGATTACCCCCTTATATTATAAAAAACACCATCTGGAAATGATATACTAGACGTGTTATTTTGACGCACTTTTGGAAAGTGGAGGGAGTTTCGAAAGAAATCAGTCTAACTCAGTGTTTTTAACTACGATTTCTTCTTGATTATTCGGAGCTTTAAACTACATTACTTACTTTAGACGGAATTCCTAATTCTTTCGGGTTTCTGTAGCCGCATCCCCTGATCTTAGTCGGTCGTGGTTTAGGAGTCATTGACTCTATCAGCATTGTACAGAGCGAATCCAAAATTGGCGTGCATGGGTCGTCGTTTTCGCCGCTACTCCTGCTTATAAGAGGCCCAAGTGCGAGTTTACTTCATATCAACTCGCTCTCGACAGCGAGCGCGTTTGACGTTGTGATTGGTGCAGATTTCAGTGCGGGCCAATCACAGCGAAGAACGCGGTCATCGTGACGATCGAGTAGAAGTGAAATAAACTCGCACGTGGCCCTCAGGTCATAAACGCATGCAAATTTAATATTACTATTATATAACTTCCTAAAGAATTATATAAAAAACACGACCTCCCTACTGAAAAACTCTTACATAATTTCTGTTTTCATTTAAAAATGACGCCGTACAACCGCCATTTTGTTTGAAAAACTTGAACACTACTATTATGTAAGAATTCTAACGATAACCTACACATGCATTTCTATTCTGGCATTTGGAGGTTTATGGTGAAGTAAAGAAACTCATCTGTATGTAAGAAATTGTCTTTAAGCGATAAGGTCGCCATTTGCACATGTTCATTAATTTGATGTCATCATCATCATCAACAGCCGTTAATGGCTCTTCTTAGAAAGAGGTTTTTCGCCTATTATACCACGCTGGCCAGGCGGGTTGGTATAGGGCTTGTTTTAAGTTTTCCTTCCCTTTCCAGTACTGTTCCACTGTGTAGTTTGCTCCCTTAGTTGGCTCTAACGACACCCGCGGGATGAATAGGGGTGGTGACACTCCGTAATCTTGTAGAAAGCAAAGAAAAGGTGAACAATAAAGTTTCTTCTATTCTAAAGATACAAACATACCTACATATTTTTCTCCATTTGGGTAGTCGTGTAAAAATAAAATGCGCTATTTTATTAAATGTAATTTATACAAGCGCTTTCTGAATAATATACACACTCAGGGCTGTAACGCTGCTAGGGTAGGCAGGAGCATTTACTAACTTACTATATTGATTTTAGTAATGAAAGCAACTTTAATCATTCGAGAACTTTGGATTTTTAAGATGGGAAAACTAAGACTAATAAAAAGAGAAAGGCAGGTATGCCTTTCGTTCTACATTCCAGGTCTTCATTGAAAGTAAGGGATATTACTTTAATGAGTTGTTCTTTTTGTCCGTTTCATGTATTTTTGTAAAGCCCACCGCGACACAGGATATATTCCTAGTTTAGGAACCCCTAAACTAGGAATATATCCTATATTCTTATTTTAAATTAAAAAGAAATCACTATTCTCACCTGACTTGCAATACTCCACACCCCGTCACGCTAGAGTTACTCATTTCATCCGCACTGATGTTGGGATCTGAAGGGTACTGTGGGATACAGACGTATTGTCGACCTTCCGTGTCCACGTATGAAGTGACACCTTCCTTTAACTTGACGGTGATCTGGAAATGAAATACTGAATTAATATAATTACCTTTTAAAAAGTTTCACTGACTTCAATACCGCAAATTGTAATAAACTGCATTCTTTATTAATTATTTTCCACTCTAAGGGGTGGATTTTTTCTTTAAGCAGGACTAAACGGACCCTTTCAAACAACAAAAACATTTTTATAATTGGTTCACAAATAACCAAGTTCTGACGGTCCGACATTTTTTATCATTTTCATTTACGTTCGTTACACATAAATGAACTACTTTCGAAACCATGAATAACCTCACTTACTATCCGTGTGGTGATGGATTGAGAATACGGAGTGTCACCATCCCTATTAATCCCGTGTGTGTCGTTTGAGCCGACTGGGGGAACAAACTACGCAGGATAACAGCATCGCCAAGGAAAACTTGACACAAACCTTATACCAAACCATCTGGGCAGTGTGGTATAGTAATCCAAAACCTCTTTTCTAAGGAGAGGACTATGTCCAGTAGTGGACTACTAAACTCGGTGAAATAGAACGAAAGAATTGCAACGCATCGTCTCACCTTAACCACTTAAAAAAAAAAACATAAACAACTGTACTAATCATTGTACTCGTAGACACAATTTAAGTATTCACATTTAAAAGATACATATACTTACGAGTATATATCTGTCTAACACTCCACAAACCTTTGTGTTTTATCGTGTTATGTTTCAATATTTCTTGTATTTTTTGTTTCAAATATATTTAAAGAAAAACCTATCACTCCGTCGAGCTATTCTATGTGTGTAAATACGACTCTTCCTGTAAGACAGTGATTGCCTAACTAAGCTTTAAGGTAGGTCAGTATGTAGTAACTCACGACTCACGACTTTAGGGTAGCCAAGATTGTTATTGAAGATTTTGTCCAGAACTCCAGGATCCAATGTGTACTGTGATTCGGCGACTACTACGAGGACTGCGAGGAGGTACAGGGACATTATTCTGTAAGAAAGAGAGAGTAAGCATGAGTGGTTATACTAATGTTATATTAGACTAGCTGACCCGCGCAACTTCGTCTGCCTCTCTCACTAGTAATAAATTTTCTCCGTTTTTGAAACATTCTTCATTGGTACTCCGCTCCTATTGGTCTTAGCGCGATGATATATAGCCTATAACCTTCCTCGATAAATGGGCTATCTAACACTGATTTTTTCAAATCGGACCAGTAGTTCCTGAGATTAGCGCGTTCAAACAAACAAACAAACTCTTCAGCTTTATAATATTAGTATAGATTTATGTGGTTTTGTATCTGTGAATTTAATTTAATTTGCCATTTATTAACTTGTTTTAACCTAGTGCGTCCTTTATCTGCATCACCCAATACTTGACTGCTAGAGCAATTTGCGCACAAAGTTTTTAATAAAATAAATTGTCCAAAGAAACTCGTTATACGGGTTTCTAAGGAATAATTGAAGCAGGAAGTGACATAACTGGTTAAATACATAAACCAATCAATGTCGTTTAAAAATTCCAATAAAAGAAAGCTAAATACTTTGTATTTTTTAAACGACTTCAAAAAGGAGGAGGTTATCAATTCGGATGTCTATATTTGTTTTTTTTTTGTGTTAGTTTCGTCATAACTCCGTCAATATGGACGGATTTTCAAAATTCTTTTTTGTTCGAAAAGGGTTTATTCCGAAATAGTCCCAGTTAAATTTCATATAGATCTGATGATGAGTTTCGGAGACAGACAACGGAACTCTTTAAAAAAATGAAAGCAAATCAACCGGCATTGCTGCTAGGTTTTTAGTGCTCTTTGTTAGTATTGTTAAAAGTCGGTTCAACTTTTGTTTTTAAAAGGATTTATTCTTGTCGTAAGACATAGGGGCAAAGGACCTAACGGGTCACCTGATGACAACTACTGCCGCTCATGAACACCTCACAAATCAAGAGTCTCAAGTACGTTGTCGGCCTTTGACTGCTCTCTCCTAAAGTGAGGGGGGGGGGGTTAACCTTCGGTAATCCCACTCATTTGGTGAAAAGGAACGAAAAAAATATTGAACATCGATTCCCAGTACCGTCTTTATCATAAGGGCACACGGGGGCCCCGAAAAGCGAATACACAGAGGAATATTTTCACTTACACTGTACTTTTTTTTATATTTTACATCGATAAAATTCGACAAAAAATAAATAGCTTACAAAATTTATTCATTCATTTCATTTCACTGTCCAACAGGGCCCTATATTTTTGTGTTGTTATGGGCCCCGGCATGGCTTAAGTCGGCGTTGGTGATATCATTACGATCCGACCGTAATTTTTTTTCTTTCTCTTGAAACAACTCCTGAATATATCCTGTGACGCAGGGGACTTTACTAACATTCATTCAAACGGACACAAACCGCACCAAGACTCAGAACAACAATTTGTGGATCATACACATTGATCCTCACATTTGTCCCATGTGAGGATCGAACCTACAACACTCAGAATAGTAGGAAGCGGCGTGGAGACAGCTTAAGCCACTTTACCATTCCGTGCAGTCAAATGTTTCGAGATGTGACGAAGAATGAATCTCCCACGCACGATTACAATGTAAAGTAATTATGTTGTAATTTTTTATTATTGTCTAGAACTAGAATCTATTTAGAATAGCTGGGTTTCAAAATTATACTGTTCGTATATGGAATAAGTACTTAATTTTAAAAAATCGTTGAGGTATGTATTTTGTTTATGAATATAATGCTGTGAAATTTTGTTGTAGTATGTGGTAATATGGTGTTAGCGTACAGATATTTTTATTACCTTACTATTATTTTACTAGCCAAAATATTATTTCAAAATATGTTGTCCTCAGCATAAAAGTGCTTTGATGGTTCGGAGTGTGTTTGGCATGGCGCCACGAGTCTATAAACATCTACCTAAACGCTTAATAGAAATTACGTGTATCATTGTTTAAAAAAATTTGGTTAAGCAATTTCTGTTGCAAAAGGCGTACTATACAGTAGACGAACTTTCGAATGATAAAGATTGTACTTAATATGTTTTATCTGCGTCTGTTTGTTTTAATCTTAAATTATTGTGACATTCTACGAGTATTGTAAGTTTTTTTTCTCATCACATCACATCAATAGCCTTTAATAGTTCACTCCTGGACATAGACCTCTCCTTAGAAAGGAGGTTTTGGCCTACTATACCATGCTGGCCAGACGGGTTGGTATAGGGTTTGTAACAAGTTTTCCTTCTTATTACAGTGCTGGTGTCCTGCGTTGTTTTGCGCCCTTAGTCGGCTCTTACGACACCCACGCGATGAATTAGGGTAGTGACATTCCGTAGTCTTAAACCGTCACTACACGGACTTTTTCAACTGACATAAAATGCACCTCTTTTCATTTCGTTTATATATGATATATTGACATTCTTAAATCTCAAAATATGAACAATGTTGTAATTAGATTCCTAAAGTATGTAATTTATAAAATGTTAAGTATTGCGAGAGGCCGAAAATGGAGAAGAGAGAGAGAATGCCACATTATTTTTTTAATAATAATAATAACCTCACACATCTCACACACGGCCGTCTGATCCCAAACTAGGCAGAGCCTGTGCTATGGTAACCAGACTGCTGATAAACACTACTACTACTACTTATATAGTTTTAAATACATACATATTATAGATAAATTACACCCAGACACAACAAATAACCGTGCTCATCACACAATATTTGTCCCGGGTGAGAATCAAACCCACGACCTCCGGTTTAGCAGTCAGGGTCACTAACCACTAGACCAACTAGACAACAATTATATCACAATAATCATTGTACCTACTCATTTTCGCATTTTCGCAATCGTCCGTGTGGTGACGGATAAAGAATACGGAATGTCATCACCCCTATTCATCCCATGGGTGTCGTAAGAGCCGACTAAGGGAACTAACTACGTAGGACAACAGCACTGCAAAGAGAAGGAAAACTTGAAACAAACCCTATACCAACCAGTCTGGGAAGCGTGGTATAGTAGACCAAACCCTCCTTTCTAAGGAGAGGCTTATGCCCAGCAGGGGACTAGTAATAGCTGTTGATGAATTTCGCAATAAAATAATTTGAATTTGAATTTACTGACTATAATTATAATAACTTGACTTGACTATAATTATAATAAATTAACTTGACGCACTAAGCAGAGACTATAACTAGAATGCTGATAAACATACTTATATATTTCTAAATACATACATATCTAAATATATCTAACATATGAAAATCTCGTGTCACAGTGTTTGTTAGCGAACTTCTCCGCTTGACCGATTTTATGTTTTTTTTTTGTGTATATTTGATAGGTCTTAGAATAGGTTGTAACTGACTTTTTATACCCCGAGGTAGTAAGGGTGACCCCTCCGTAGAATTTTATTTTTATTGTAAATATGCCAGTCGAGTTAATAAAGTACATTGAATTAAGAAAATGAATATTTAGTCTTTTGTTATTTTTCTAGGCCGTCATCGGCCACAGCGCTCCATTTCTCTTTCAGTCACAGTCCCTATCCACACATGCTTATATTCACTAGAAATAATTTATTTGGCAATACAACGTTTACCGGGTCAGGTACGAGTAGTATATTATTTAAGTTGGTTTGTGTACGCTTCAAAAACTCGAAAGGTACTGCATCGATTGAACTTAAATTTTGACACGATATAAAACCCACTTCAAAGATGTTTATTTTTTATTTATCGCGTTAGTTTTGTGCCTCAGTTCTCATTGATGCAACCACAATAGGCCACAGCGAAGCTTAGCACAGATCAATGATGATGCTCATCACACAATTATCTGTCCGGGGTGGGCATCGAAGTCACGTCCTCTGACTCAGATTCTGTCAGTCTGATTTAGCAGTTGGGATCGTTTACCATGATACTTACCAAGCCATTCAAGTATAAATGACTAATCTACAAACAAGGCCTTTTGTACCGGTTACTAAATTGTCTCGCTTACACGGTGTTGCTTTCTCTTTCTGACACATTGATGTACTCGTATGTCCAATTTTGGCGCCTTAATTTTAATAAATCTATTATAGAGTATCTTAGTCTATGATATAAAGCGGGAAAAATATTATACCTGTCAATTTCTTGCTGTGTCTTGAACACCACGCACCTTAAGGATTATAAATCTCTTTGTACACAAGTATTTATTTATAAGTATTTTAGATGTGACAACACGTCGTCTTGGCGCCGTTTCTAGGCCGTAAAAGGAATAGTCGGTTCGAGTCCGACATGCCAACGGGTGGTATCCGAGGGGATTTCCGCACGGAAAAAAAAGGCCGTGAAAGGAAAATATCCTTCGCTTTACACAACAATAGCATTTCTTGAAATATAATTTTAGTAACTATATAAGTAACTTTGAATATTTGATGCAATTGTCACTTTGGCGTTTTAAAAATTAAAAGTAAGTTATGTCTGACTTGTTTGTCTAGTGGTTAGTAGTCCTGTCTGCTAAACCGGAGTTCGGGGCTTGAATCCCACCCAAGTTAAATATTGTGTAATGTGCATTGTGTAATTGTGTATTGTGTAATATAATAAACTTTATGCACTTATGTACATGGGCGTAGTTAATGCCCAGGGCATTCTCTTCCAGTCGACCTTTGGGTAGTGTAGTAATCTTGTATGGTAGGTGCACAGAGGTTGCATATTATGTAATCAATGAAGAGATGGGTGTATATATATATAATTCGGTAATATTTTTGTTGTCTTATTACTATAGCTTTGTAAATAGCCTAGGTCAACAAGACTCTCATCTAATAAATAAAAATCTCGAGTCACAGTGTTTGTGATATCGAACTCCTCCGAAACGGCTTGAACGATTTTGATGATTTTTTTTGAAGTGAAATTTCTTTAGAATCGTTGTGATTTGAAACTCGATGAAACGAAAATGCATCACGATAAAGAAACAAACACATAAATGTTTAGGATTAAGACGGCGAGAGAATGAGATAGAATACATT